TTATTATTATTATTATTATTATTATTATTATTATTATTATTATTATTATTATTATTATTATTATTATTATTATTATTATTATTATTATTATTATTATTATTATTATTATTATTATTATTAATGTGAAGTGTTATTGTGGAATTATGGAATAAGTGACTATGAGAGTTTTCTGAAGCAAATAATTACTAGAACTAGAAGCATCAAATATTGAGCTACCCATTGCATTTTGGATCATGATTAGTCTTGCGAATTTTATTTTAAAAATTAAAAATCAAATTTATATTTATTTTGCCCTTTTAGTAATCCCGACTTCGAATCACTCTTTTGTTTTTTTTTTTAAAAACAATATATGTGACAAATGAAAACAAAATAAATAATATAATCTTGCCGACCTCCCGAGTCAATGAGTCAAGCCAAAGGAAAGTTCGTATTGGATCATTTGATAGAAAAGATACAAAATCATCGTAAAGATGTACCGATTTCTTCGCCCCGCCGACTTTGTTGATTTTTTTATTTGCATGCATCGTCCTGAATTATTTATCATATTCACCATTTCTATAACCATTTATTATTATTATTTTTTAATTTTAGTTATGCCCCTTCAGAGTGTATCAAACCATTTTTGGTTTGGTAAAAAAAACTATCCCAAATTTCTATATTTAAACAATATTGTTTGGTTGCCTTTGATTCGATTATCTTGTTAGTTTGTTTGGTACATGTTTTTCTCCGATTATATTGAACACATAATGTTTTTTTGGTTTGATTTGTATAAACCAACATAAAATTCATATCAATATTTCTTTTTTTTTTATTCAACATCACCCAATATATATATAGTGACGGACCTATGTTGAAAGGAATTGGGGCACATAACTCCTTTGATTGATTAAATGTTTTAATTTTGTTTATATAATTTTACACAAAACTGTTAAATGTCCCATACTAAAATTAAATTTATCTCTATATAAAATTTTTTATACGATATATTTTTATTAATTTTATATATAACAATAATATTATTACCTTCATTTGTAAATATTTCTAGTTCCGATATCATATATATAAACAAGTTTCAGGCAAATATTTCGGCATGCAAAGTGGTTGATTTGTTGCTACCCATGTAAGAAAAAAAAAGATATAGACAACATTTTGGAATTTCGGTTTATTTTATAATTTCGAAATATATGGTTTTAGTTCACGAACCGTGTTGTCCTTCATTAAAACATGCTTTTGAAAACTAACAATTCGTAGTCTCGAAGAATTCTACACTTTGAAAAAGTAATAGACCTTAAGATTGTTAGGTATCTATAAAATATTCAAATTAATTTATTAAAACAATGTGTGTATATATATATGGGAATGGAATCACTTGGTGAAGATCGAATTTACATACACACATGAAAGTTTTAATTCATATATATATTCGAAATGTGATACTAAATATACACAAATTCCACGCGCATGAAGAAATGAAGTATCTAATTGTTTTAGAGAAGAAAAAATAAATGATTTTATATTATATAAAATAAATTATAAAACGTGGCTTTGGATTAATGTTTCACACGGTCTAGACAGATCAAACTATATTGTATTTTATTAATTTAAAACAATATAATTAAATATAATATTACGTGACCAAGATTCGTTACGGAAATTTCAGACACGTTAAAAAGTTTTTCATATGATGTTCACGTCTTCAATTAGACAGCTTATTGCCTTGTCTTTCCCATGACCTTCCTCCCATAACCTCTCTCTCTCTCTCTCTAGTAGTTTATATTCTATAAATACCGCCATGAACCACTTGAGAGCTTCTCAATCACTCGACCCAAATTGTGAGTGAAGCAAGCAAATCAAGACTTTGCTCTCTTTGTTCATCGAATCTGGACACCGCCCTCGAACTCAATACCAACCCTCTAGAGCTTGATTTCGCCGGAAAACGTCCGGTGAGTTAGAATTTCGCCGTTTATGCGAAACCCAATTTCGGAGTTCTTCGTCGTTTCGTTCGGTTTTTATCGAACTGGGTTTGTGCTGATTTCATCTTGGATTGCGTAATTTCTTTATGCTGCAGAAGAGGGAAGAGTCGGACACTGCTTCTGCAGATATGGAGAGGACGTGGCTGGCAGAAGACGAGGTTAGTTCTTTCATCGAACACCTGCTGTGCGAACAAATCCGAGTTCATGTCTTAAGTTACCATACTATATTTCTTCCCAAAGCTGTAGATGTCACGAAATTTATAAGTGAGTAACCCAGAAATCGAAATCTCATATATGTCGAAAAGGGTTACCATAGGATTTCATTTACATCTTACTGATGGCAGTGAAATTTAGGATTTCAATAGCTGTTTAGCTCAACATTTGGAAACATATAGGATTGTTCTGGGTTAGAACCGGAGAATTTTCACATGTGCTTCAGTGATAAGATCTCAGTCCAATAAGTCTGCTTGGTTTGAGTTCCATGGGGAGTGGTTTCTTGTATGCTATGAAGATAGTAAAGGTGCAAGCTTTTTCCTTTCTTTTTGTGTTTGTGTGTTAATGGTGAGTTTTGGTCTTCTGGGTTTGAACAGAGCACTAGAATGTTGAAGGAGGAGCTAGATCGGGTTAACACCGAGAACAAAAAGCTAAGCGAGATGCTAGCCACTGTCTGCGAGAACTACTACGCTCTACATAACCATTTGAAGGAGCTGCTGAGCAAAAAGGGTTCAGGAGATAACCAGAAAGAGCAATCGACAAGGAAAAGAAAGTTCGATATGGACGAGTTTGTAGACTGCACGATTGGACTCGGTAGTGGAAAAACCGAGAGTAGCTCCAGCGAAGAAGATCGTCATCATCATCATCCATCATTAAAAGTCACTGAGTGCATTGGAAAATCTAAGGTTTCCATGGTTCACGTGCCTGCAGATATGTCTGATACAAGCTTGGTAAGCATTTTCGCTGATTGAGATCTTCGGTCAACAGAGTTTATGCTCCAAAGCCGGGTTTTGATTAATAATCGCGTGTTTTTGTGGAATATCGCAGACTGTGAAAGATGGATATCAATGGAGGAAATACGGGCAAAAGGTAACGAGAGATAACCCGTCCCCTCGAGCTTACTTCAGATGCTCTTTCGCTCCATCGTGTCCTGTCAAGAAGAAGGTAATGAATACTGGAAACTAAACTTGAAACTTGTGGTACAAACTTTTCAACACTCTCAAGGCTCTAAATTGTCGTGTTCGGGTCACTTTTCAGGTGCAAAGAAGTGTGGAAGATCCGTCGTTCTTGGTAGCGACCTATGAGGGGACCCACAATCACCCGAGCCCGAACCCTTCGGGGGGCGAAACCCTGAGCCATGGCAGGTCGAACAAGGCGGGTATTGATGTGGTTCAAAGTGGTGAAGAGAAGAAGAGGGAGAAGGAAATAATACCGGAGGTGATAGTTCAGCAAATGGCTTCTTCCTTGACGAAAGATCCAAACTTTACAGCAGCTCTTGCGGCTGCAATCTCTGGGAGATTGTTGGCGCAGTCAAGAACTTGAGAAATCTCATTGTAATCAATTTTTCCCATCTTTTTTTTTTGTTAAAGGCCAAGTCGATTTTAGTCTACATGTAAACTAGGATATCAATTTGGACCCTAAGCATGAAATCTGACTGAGTCCATCCAAAAAAATATCGGGTTTCGGATTTATAAATATAGGCACGAAAAGTTTCGAGTTTTTGGGTCTGGTCTAAATCGGGCTTTGAGTTTTATCGGACTAAGCCCGACAGATTTCGGATTGATCTAAAAGCCCGATTTTGTTTTTTTAAAATAAATTTAAAAACACCTAAAAATCTATTTTTTTTTATATATATTAAGTGGGTGTGCATACCCAATACGAATCCGGATTCTATAAGATCGGACTTCAAACTTAGTTTATTTGACTCGAAAATTCGGCCGATCCGAGTTTGAATCTGAAACATTCGGATCGAGTGCGGGGTTGGACCGGTCTAATTGACACCTCTATTTAGAAACTTCAATCAAAACTAGGAAATAAAACTTCAAGAAAAAGAAACTTCAATCTAGAGTCCTTAACATTTTAAAAATACACAAAAAATAACTCCCCATGATAACTAGGAAATAAAACTTACTAGTGGAAGAAGTCTAATATCAATACCGGCAGAAAAAAGAGTACATAAAATAAAAGAAAATTGTTGTTTCAGCCCAAGCGCGACCCCTTGTGAATAGAGTGAAAGCATCACGGTGGACGCGAGGGGTATTGCCATAGCCATAGCCAACGGTATGGGCAGAGACTCATGCGACGCTCCACCAACTGCTCCGACTCGATCATCATTCTCCAATCCTTTGAGACGGATTTGAATCTCACCAGCGATTCCCATTGAAGCTTCATTAGTATTTTCTGCAGGAGCTCGGGGGAAGATGGGTTTCGGAATTAGGGTTTCTCTCTTCCGACGCCATTATCTTTTGCAACAAGCTTTGAAGAATCGAATCAGGTTAAAATGAACCAGAGTTTCCAATTTTCTGAAAGCTATTTCCATTTTCTGGTTTCCAACTTAATCCTGCAATTCCTTTTTGTTGGAGCAAGGAAAATACAGGACCACGTGTGAAAAGACTGCAACAAACAGACATGGGCAAAAAACATAGGAAATCAAGAGAATGGGCAAGTCATTGGAGAAAGGAAAGCATGGGTCACATTAAAGAATTGGAGTGAGACAAAAAGTGGAGCAAAGTGGACCTCTCGAGAAAACACGGATACACAATCTGTTGAGCATAAAGAGAGAGTCCGAGACATGAGAGAACGGTGACGAAAACATATTGAGCATAAAGAGAGAATGAAAATGATGAGAGTTTTTCTGTATTGCTGAGAGTCATTCTGAATGAGTGTAAGATACATCTGATGGGGAGTCTTCAACCAACAAACAAACCGCTCATAGGTTCTAGACAGAGTCTAGTGTGACATGTGGTGTGTGCATCATACAAAGTGTCTGTAAGCTGATAGAATTTCTTGTGTTTTAGGGGTTTTACTCATGGAGAGTAAAACGAGCTGGGTTGAGTGACACTTGAAAGAGATTGAAGTGTATCTGACTCGTAACAAAGAAATAGAATCAGTTTGGTTGTTCTTTATTCAAGATATTGTGTGAGTATACTTTTTCAATTGGTATCAGAGCAGGTCACTGATCGTAGGAGCCTTTCTTCTCATATCGGTGTACGGTCCAAATTCACACAATGGAAGGATTCAAAGAGCTGCAAACTCTTGGGAAAATTGTTATGCTTGACTCCACCAACTATGAGCATTGGAAAGTCAAAATTAGCTCGTATATTCGCGGATTGGATGAAGATACTTGGAATACTGTTACTGATGGCTGGACCCAACCGACTGATACTGTCGATGGGGTGGCAAAGCCGAAACCATGGAGTGAATGGACAACTCAGGAAAAGAAGGACTCAACCTTAAATCAGAAAGCTCTATCTATCATCTTCAACAGTGTCAATCATGAAGAACTTGAACAAATTCAAGGATGTCAAACTGCAAAAGACGCATGGGATACACTAGAACTCATTCATGAAGGGACATCCAAGATAAAAAGGAACAAACTAGACATGATAGACCTTCAGTTCGAACGTCTGAGGATGGGAGACGATAATGTAAAAGAGTTCTGTGGGAAACTGAGTGCCTTGTCAAATGAAGCAAGTGTACTTGGTCGGAAGATCACTGATGATCAACTTGTGAAAAAGCTTCTGAACAGTCTGCCAATTAAGTACCATTTCTCAGATCTTAGTCTTTGAAGGAATCAACAACTTAGATACCATCACATTCGAGGAGGCCATAGGAACATTTGCTGCTCATGAGTTGAGACTACAATTCATGAATTATGGATCATCGGTACAATCTAAAAGAGGAGTTGCATTATATGTCCCTGAGATAAAAGAAAAAGAGACTGAATCTGATGTCGGACAACCGTTGGGAACAAAAAGACACCTGAAGAAGAGCTGAAGGATGAAATGTCTCTTATCGTAAAAAAATTCCACAGGTTTTTTAGATAGGCAAAAAGAGGACTTGGGACACAGAATGATAAAGAAGCAGGCAAATGTCTAGAGTGCAAAGGAATACGACATTGGACAAGTATCACACGAAGAGAAAGTGTGCTGAAAAATCTAAAGGAAATCCAGTGCTTCGAATGCAAAGGGTTTGGACACACGAAGATGAAATGCATAAAACAAAAAGGGAAGTCATTGATTACACATGAGAATGAAGCGTCAGACACAAAGAGTGACAGTGACGACGATGACATGACCAATTTTGTGGCATTTCTCGGTGTCATTGAAGAAGGAGAGGATCAGATTGACGACAGTGATGGTGAAGAAGTTACTGAAGAAGATCTCCTTAAAAAAATGAGTAAACTACTGATAAGCGAAAAACAACAGTTGATGAATGATCTCAACAGACACAAGTACAACTGACAGACACCCAGCAGAAGTTAGCTCGGAAAGAAGAGGAAGCATCGCAGGTGAAGTGTCAGTTGGAAGAAACAAAGAAGAATCTATACCTTCTGGGTAGCGGAACTGGGAAATTGGACTATTTGCTCAGCCAAAGAAGGAGTGCTGGAGATCAATTCTGGACTCGGTTACCATGGAAAACCTCATCCTGCTCAAATTTCTGTCTGGGGGGATCTTAACCAAGAAGCCCCAGGATTAATGCGAGGAAGGCCTCAGTCAATACAGACAACAAGGAGAAATCCTTGAACAAGTCAAGAAACACGGAGCTGCTATCATTGTGGACGGAAAGGACACATCAGGAGAAATTGTTTATATGTGAATGGAAGTAGAAATACACCCAGGTATACTTCATTCATTTACCAATACTCTCCATGGAATCTCAAATGGGTCCAAACGTCAGACCTGACTTGCAATGTAGCCTACACAACTGAGCATGACTGCAGAACTGGGAGCTGATACTTCGACAGTGGAAGCTCCAGACACATGATAGGAAATAGAGACCTATTAAGGGATTTCACAATGAACTCAAAAGGGGCAACGTTATATTTGGGGATGGTAAACAAGGAAAAATCCTTGGTAAAGAAACACTCGATGGTGCAGGATTACCAAGGCTAACAGACGTTAAGGTCGTGCAGGGTTTGAAAGCCAACCTCATCAGCATCAGTCAGCTGTGCGACAGTGGCATGCGGTTAAGTTCACAAAAAACGGTTGGTTTGTTACTGATATAAATAACAAATGTGTTTTGTCAGGAAAAAGGAACTCGAACAATTGCTACATTTTGGTGGACACAACAGAATCACCTGCAGACCAGACCTGCCTGCTAGCAAAAAGAGATGAGATGGAGCTGTGGCATCAGAGACTGGGGCACATTAACATACGAGCCTTGGTCAAGCTGTCTAGGTTAGGGGTAGTTCGGGGAATGCCAGAATTAATTCATAGTGATGAATTTGTTTGCAAAGCTTGTCAGTTGGGAAAGCAGGTTCGCATATGACACAAGAAGATAGAGGAGATACATACTACACATATACTAGAACTTATGCACATGGACCTCATGGGTCCAATGCAAACTGAAAGTTTTGGAGGGAAGTGGTATGTTCTTTTGTGTGTCGATGACTATTTCAGATTTACGTGGGTTCGTTTCTTGAGGGAAAAATCTGAAGCTTGTGTTGCATTTCAACATCTTTTCTTACAACTTAAGAATGGAAATGGAAGCATTGAATGCATTAGGAGCGATCATAGCAGGGTATTTGAAAATGTTCAGGTTCAGGAATTCTGCAATATACATGGGATCTCGCATGAGTACTCTGCACCCAAAACTCCTCAACAGAATGTGGTGGTTGAGACGAAGAACAGAACGCTACAGGAAATGCCTAGATCAATTTTGCATGCTAGAGGGATCACTACTCGTTTCTGGGTAGAGGCTATGAGCACAACCTGTTACTTGATAAATCGCATCTACTTACGCCGTGATATGTCGAAAACTCCTTACGAACATTGGAAAGGACGATCTCCACTGCTCAAGTACATACATGTGTTTGGATGCAAGTGTTATATGTTGAATGATAGAGAGTATCTCGGAAAAATGGATGCACGAAGTGATGAAGAGATCTTTTTTGGTTATGCAAAAAGCTCAACGGCGTACAGATGATGGAGTCCACAAATGTTGTATTCGATGAAGAATTCTCAAAGGGTAGTGTGAGCATTTTTCTGCCTCCAGGTACTTCTCGAGATATCTCAGAAACTCTTGGGGAGATGTCTGGACCCACAGTCAAAGATGACACAGAAGAACTGAGCTCAGGTGATGAAAAATCTGATGATTTGATATCAACATCTCAAGCACCAGTGACGATCTCATTTCTTTTTGAAAGAGTTCCAGGCTTCAGAGCCGAATTAGGAATTGGGATTGGTGGTCAGTCTAAGAAAGAGGTAAGACAGTGGGAAATTCAATTTATATCTCAGTCAGTTCCTAACCTAACCTCTGAACGAGGATCGCTATGTAACGACCCGTGACCGCTACGAATTATCGAAACTGCCCCCACACAGCAACCCGGGACCTTTCAGCGTGTTTTTTCCTCACTCGCACGCATACCGAGACACTTTCCAGTAGGTCACCCATCCTGAGATTGCTCCAGAGTCAGCACGCTTAACTTTGAAGTTCTCTCAGGATAGTCAACCAAAAAGGTAGATGCACCTTGTTGCTATGAGTAGCCCAACTAATTCTTTTTATGTTATCTTAGACTGTATAGTCCCATACCTATACAGCCCTCGGATCTCTCTCCTTCCGGTGTGTTCGATTCATCCCTGTACCCCCTACCCAGAAGCTCGTCAGGAGCCACCCCTTGTCTGTGCCTCTGCACCGGTGATCACTCCCCGCCCTCCTACGGTACTCTGGGTTGTCATAGGCCCACCAGCTTCCGCCTGGTTCGTCCTCGAAACACACCGTACTGGGAGAGTACTGGCTCTGATACCATCTGTAACAACCTGTGACCGCTACGAATTGTTGAAACTGCCCCCACACAGCAACCCGGGACCTTTCAGCGTGTTTTGTCCTCACTCGCACGTATACCGAGACACTTCCCAGTAGGTCACCCATCCTGAGATTGCTCCAGAGCCAGCACGCTTAACTTTGGAGTTCTCTCGGGATAGTCAACCAAAAAGGTAGGTGCACCTTGTTGCTATGAGTAGCCCCACTAATTCTTTTTATGTTATCTTAGACTGTATAGTCCCATACCTATACAGCCCTCGGATCTCTCTCATTCCGGTGTGTTCGATTCATCCTCTACCCAGAAGCTCGTCAAGAGCCGCCCCTTGTCCGTGTCTCTACACCGGCGATCACTCCCCGCCCTCCTACGGTACTCTGGGTTGTCACACGCTAGACTAGCCCTTAGTTGATGGCATACAATAGGGACAACTGATCATTGCAATCGAATGAGTTGGTCTAATCAATGGGCTTTTAAATCATTCTCTAGGAGATCTTATTGGGGATATGCACGAACCTCGACAAACCAGAGATAAAGCTCGAATCAACTATAAGGATTTAGTCCGATTTGTCTGCTTTAACTCTCAAACTGAACGAAAAAAGGTATGTGATGCTCTGAAGGATGAATTCTGGGTTCGGGCTATGCAAGAAGAGCTCGAACAGTTTACACGGAATGATGTCTGGTACTTGGTCCCACAACCTGAGTATACAAATGTGATTGGAACCATGTGGGTGTTCAAAAATAAAACGAATGAACATGGGAAAATTGCAAAGCCCGACTGGTTGCTCAAGATACACACAAGTCGAAGGAGTCAATTTCGATGAAACGTTTGCACCCGTAGCTAGTTTGGAATCCATCAGACTTCTTCTCGGTGTTGCCTGCAGTTTGAATTTCAAGCTCTATCAAATGGACATTAAGAGTGAATTTCTTAATGGTGTCCTACAAGAGGAAGTTCATGTTGAACAACCAATGGGTTTTGAGGATCCTCACTATCCCGATCACGTGTTTCGGTTGAAGAAAGCACTATATGGACTGAAGCAAGCACCCCGTGCGTGGTATGAATGACTCACATCATTCTTGGTTGAGCACGGGTACAAAAGAGGGGAAGTATATAAGACTTTATTCACTTATAATGAAGATGGAGAGTTGATGGTAG